GACAACCATCGGCTCACCTGGCGTCCTCAGGGGTCTCGTGCGTGACCGGGGACAGGTAGGAGCGTCTCCTCTGACGTCCTGTGCCCTGGCAGGGACCGAGCTGGCAGCATCCCTCCCCTTCGCAGTGCGGCTCTCTCTTCGCTTGGCAGAGGTTCCTCTCTCTCCTCCCTCCCGTCAGCCCGCGATGCTGTCTGTCCGTTTGTCCTGCAGGTGTTTGTGAACACAGTGTTCATTGGCTTCTTGGACTATGAGCGGAAGGACATCGTCATCCCCTTAATCCAGGTCTGTTTCCTGGGGAGCTGGGCGGTGGGTAGCGCCGGCCTCTTCCTCACCAGGTTTGGCGGGAATCGGAGAGGAGGACCTGGGAACCAGGAGCTCCTTAACCAGAGCTGTGCGTGGGGAGCGGGCAGAGCCTCGCTTTCTGATCGCAGGGGCGCTTCCCCTCCCATCCCGGCCGCTCAGGGAGGGGCTGGAGTGCTGCAGGGGAGGAGACAGTCATCGTCCACCCTGTTCCGGCAGGGCTACACTGTGCTGAGGATCCTGGTGGAGAACTGCGGGCGCGTCAACTACGGCCATAATATCGATGAGCAGCGCAAAGGTGGGTCACAGCGCATGCTGGGTGAGGAGCTGCTGACAGCGTGGGCTGGCTGTCCGTTCTCCACCCCAGCTCCTCAGCAGGCCTCCGGGCTGGCTGCAGGGAGGGGGTCATGGGGAGCCATTGGAGGGGGTCATGGGGAGCCATTGGAGGGAGGGGGTCATGGGGAGCCATTGGAGGGAGGGGGTCATGGGGAGCCATTGGAGGGAGGGGGTCATGGGGAGCCTTTGGAGGGAGGGGTGTCATGGGGAGCCATTGGAGGGGGCCAGGGAGGCCGCTGCAGTGAGGTGGAGGTGGTTCTGAAAGGCCCCCCTGGGTCCTGACCTCCTCCCTGTTAGCCTTCCCTGTGTGTGCCGTCCACATGCCCGTGGTGAATGCACAGTGAGCACTGAGCGGGATCCTCTCAGCTCTGTCTGCCCTCGGCCTATTCTCTCACGCACGTCCCGGGGCCTGGCAGGCACGGGGTTACTCATTCTCAGCCCCTCAGCGCTTTATGGGGGAGGGTTGCTGCCCCGTTGGGGGCATGCACTTCAGGAGAAACCTTGAACTTCCCAGACACTGCCCCTGTGTCTCACTCCCCCTGCCTCCGTCCCACAGGCTTAATTGGAAATATCTACCTGAATAATTCTCCCCTGAAAAACTTCAGAATCTACAGCCTGGACATGAAAAAGAGCTTCTTTCAGAGGTAGGTCCCAGCCGAGGGCCAAGTGTGGGCTCCCAGGGGACGTGCAGAGAGAGCCGGCGGGCCCGGGAGCTGCCCCGGCCTCACCCCTCCTCTGGCTCAGCTGTGAGCAGACCAGGGCCCTGCCATGTGCCCAGGTGGGGCAGTGCCCGCCCTGGAGACGAGGTTGTTTCCACGGCACCACCCGCTGCCATTCCTGGGCCCCGTGGACCGGCGCCTTTGCCATGGGATGCGGGGTGGGGCCCGGATCTGAGAAGGTACCCCCTCCCTTCCTTGTCTTGTATTCTGTCCATAGATTTAGCTCCAGCACGTGGAACCTGGTCCCCGAAACACCTGTGTTCCCCGCTTTCTTCCTGGGCGCCTTGCCTGTGGCCTTTTCCCCCTTGGACACCTTCATGAAGCTGGAGGTTCGTAGCCGCCCCCGGCCCAGGTTCTGGTCCGTCCTCAGCTGCTCTGAGCCCGAGCCCGGAGGAGGGGCTGCTCCCCACAAGGCCTCGCCCTCTCTCACCTGCGCCTGGGCCTGGACCGTCCCGCTTTGGGCTGCCCCCTCTGCAAGGGCCTGGCCTCCCCGGGGAGGGAGCGAGTGGGCCCCCAGCAGAGGGGCCACCCTGTGGGACTTCTTAGGGCCCAGGTTCCTCCGTCCAGGGTGGGAAGTCAGGGCTGTTGGGACAGAGAGACGGGGCACCCCGCCCGGCCATCTCCTGGCTGTCACATTGGCCGTTCGGAAGCCGAGAGAGGGGCCCAGAGCGCGTCTGCCCTCCTGGGGGTTTCCCTGTGCTGGCTCTGCGGCCGACTCACGCTCACTCCACTCAAAGGGCTGGGAGAAGGGGGTTGTCTTCATCAACGGCCAAAACCTGGGGCGCTACTGGAACATCGGACCCCAGGAGACACTCTACCTCCCAGGGGCCTGGTTGGACCAAGGCATCAACCAGGTGGGAGCACTTGCAGCCCCTTCCCTTCTTCCCAGGCCCTTTCCCACTCCCGCCCTCCTGATATCACCGTGCTCACCAGGGAGGGAGGGAGGGAGGCCCTTGCCACAGTCTGTTAGGGCCGGAGAGGGAGAGTTCTGGCCAGCTCCCTCTCGGCTCCTCCTTGGCGCTGGGGAGTTGTGGGCCCCTGTTCCTTCCGCCCAGTTCCCAGCCCCTTCCCTAAGGCACCCTCTCTGGCTCCAGACACACCTGGCTGCTGCCACCCCAGCGCGTCTCTCCCCAGGTCATTGTTTTCGAGGAGAGGGCAGCAGGCCCTGTGATACAGTTCACCGAGACACCCCACCTGGGCAGGAACCAGTACATTCACTGAGCCGTGTGGCGGGAAGCGGGGGGCGCCTGTCCTCACGGCTGCCTGGAGGTCTGATGGGCTGCCCCCCAAGCCCATGCGGGGGGAGCCCATCGGAAGCGTTCCCTCCGGGAGCCGAGGGCTGTACCTCTGCCCACTGCTGTGGTTCAAGACCCCGAACCTGCTGAAGAAGAGGGGGGGCGCTGTTTAGGGGAGGACGCCCTTCTCACCTGAGGGGGTTCTTGACTGGGCTCTGTGGATGGCACTGTCCTCCTCCCTCTCTCCGGGGAGAGGGCAGAGGGATGGATGTCTGGGGTGAGAGTGTCTGGTCTGGTCTCCATGTGGTGGCACCTGGGCCTGGGGAAGGCCTGGCTGCTGGGTGTGGCTGCTGCACCCAGCTGTGCCCTGCGAACGTTCTCGCTGGCCTGGCCCATCCCTCGGGGCCCCTTTCTGTTTCTGAAATAGAGGCCTTGGCCCCATCGGTAGAGGGTAGTGAAGGGGTGTCTCCTGAGTTGATTATTGTTTCTTTTTTCTTAAAAAATATTTTTATTGATTTCAGAGAGAGATAAACATCAATGATGAGAGAATCATTGATCGGCTGCCTCCTGCACGCCCCCTACTGGGGATCGAGCCTGCATCCCGGGCATGTGCCCTTGATCAGAATCGAACCCAGGACCCTACAGTCCGCAGGCCGACGCTCTGTCCACGGAGCCAAACCAGCCGGGGCGGCGGTTGTTTCCTCACAGCCCTCCCCGCGCCTTCCCTGGGGTCCTGGAAGGAACCCCGTTTGAGAGACACACGTTTCCTTCCTTCCTTCCTACTGTAAGCGCATCCGACAGGATGGCAGGCCGGTCTGAAGAGAAACGGACATCTCAGCCCCTTGTTCTCCTGAAACGGGGAGCAGGTCCCGTTTCACTCAGTGACGGGGGGACTGTGGGTCCCAGCAGGAACCCACCCCTCTCGGAGGCACAGGGGGAAAGGGCAGAGGGCCCAGCTCCAGGGCGTGGCGGGGGGCGGGGGAATGAGGGTCGCCTCTCGGGAATGTTGGGTACCAGGCCTCACGCAGACCTTGCCACCGGCTCAGTCCCACCCCCCCCGCCTCCCGTGACGAAGCTGCAGGGAGGAGAGGCAGGCTTCCTCGCAGTTGTCTGTCTGTCCGCAATGCAGGCACTTGCTCTGGGGCCGGGCTCGCTGTCATGAGTTGCAATAAAGCCGTAGAGTTGAACCCTCGGTGGTGGTAGTTCTCTGACCCGTCTGTGCTGCTGTCAGCCGGGGGCAAAGGCAGCAAGCAGCCGGGCACAGGTGCGTGCACCCCGGCCGGCACTCAGCATCCGCACTGACTCCTCACCATCACCTCCTGATTGGCTGTGCCTCGCAAACACCTCCAGAACCCAACTACCCTCCCCCCCACCGCTGGCACTTTCCTCCAGCTCACCAGCGCCTGGACCTGGCTCATTGCCGAGCCTCCCCCAGCCCGCCCTCACTTCTCTGCTTCAACATCACCCTGGTCCCCAGGACCAACCAACACGTCCTGCCCTTCCCATCTCCCACCACCGACCCCTCCCACCTTCCCAGTCGGTTTCAGTCACATTGGCTTTGTTGCTGGTTTTTAAACTTGCTAAGCCCTCTCCTACCAGGGACAGAGGTCTCTGTGCTGGAAGGCTCTGGCCAGACAATGGCACGTCTGTATGATGCTCTTCTGCTCAGATGTCACCTTATCTGGGGGCCTTTCTGACCACCCTGTGTGGGGCTCAGGTCTCCCCCACAGCGGCCCTCTGTGCCCCCCACCCGGCCTCATGCTTGTCCTCAGACCAGATCGCATCTGAAATGCTGTCCACCCACATCCCCTCGTGAGGCGGGGACCTCCGTGAAGACGTGCTGGCTCCTGGAATAATGCAGCTCGTCGTAGGCACCTGGCAGACACTCATTCGGTGGAGGGTTCAAGCAATCCAGGGGAACGCAATCAAGCCGGGCCGAGGAGGATTAGGGATGTTAAAAACCGTGTCTGACTTTTAATTTTAAAAACAGATGACAGACAGTTAATGAAAACAGGCCCGAGGGTGCGGCCGCCCCGGGCTCCGCCCTCCACCATCTCTGATGGGGACGCCCAGCCCCCAGCGTCACGCCTCTGTGGTGGGAAGTGTGGAAAGCAAACGGTAAGGTCCTGGACCACATTCTGATTCATCACAAACTCGTCCCCAGCAAAGAAGGAAGCTGCAGTCCTCCAGGACTACAGTGATAAATAAACCCACATGCAGCTACAGTGGGGCCTTGACTTACGAGTGTCCCGACTAACGAGTTTTTCGAGATACGAGCCGTCTCTCTCTCGGCCGATTTTTTGCTTTGAGTTGCGAGCTAAAATTCGGGTCACGAGCCAGCTTCAGATGCCCCACCGCTAGTTGGCGCAGCGAACGTCACAGTGAACACCACAACATCAGCCCAGCATCACGTGTCTCATTCACTTTTTGATTTGACATACGAGTGATTTGAGTTACGAGCTCTGTCACGGAACGAATTAAACTCGTAAGTCAAGGCCCCACTGTACTAGAGGACATGGGGCGAAAACATGTCCTGCCAAACAAAGTAATACAGGAGAGGCAGCAAGAGAAAATGCCTCGTTCTGTTCCGTATCAATTTCCTGAAGATGAGCCCTGGGTTGTTTCTGGGTTATTTTGGTGTTTTGTTTTGTTTGTTTTGTTTTTGGCTGAGAAGGTAGCCGTAGACCAGCCAAGCTCACCTGAGCACAGGGCTGGGGGGCAGTGGAATGCCTGGGCCTGGATTCACGCATTTGATGGCCGCCTGTGTCCACCTCGTCCCTTCTCTCCCACACCACGCCACGTGATGCCGAGAGCTTGATTTCCAGAGCAACCATTGACTATGTAAGAGGTTGGGGGGCTGTCCTACAAGGTGGCTCAGGGTTCCCAGGGATAAGATCCCATTGGGTGGGCTCGTGACTACGTGGAAAATTGCGTCTGTTTCAAAACAGGCAACCGATGCTATATTTTTTGAATGTTTAGGTTGCTGGACTAAGTCCAATCCCCTCCCTCCCCCCCCCAATGACCCTCTCCTCCAGGAGTGGGTTCTCTGTGGTCCTCAGACTGGTCCTGCGAGTTTAAATGAAGTGTTAGCGGTTAAAAAATAAAACCCCTTCCGTAGGCTCAAGTCTTTCCGTTTCCCTCCACGCGAGAGGAAAATTGTGCTTCCGACTTTCAGGAGCATGAGGAGTGGGATCGCCACCAGAGGGCGCTGTCGCCAGCCAGAAAGCCAGGGGCCTGTCCGGCGGCGGGAGAGCCGGACACACGCCCCCTGGCGGAGGGAGCTGCCAGCGCATGCACTGTTCTCGGGCGGCTGGCTCTGCAGGCTCCCCACCTGGGGAGAAGGGAGATTTTTCTTTCCCACGTTGTGTTTAAAATAGAATTATTTCCAACGTCGTGTGTGCTCGGGTATCCTTTCCCCTCTGTGTCCAAATGATCTCGGTCTCTTGCCCATAAATATCTCTGCTAACGCAGTCCCCCTCCTGCCCCCAAACCAGGGGCAGGAAGGAGGCTTGGAATTGCCCCCACCTCTCTGCCCCTGAGGTCTGTGGCTCTCAAGGGCTTCAGGAAGAGGGCTCCTGCCCTCCCCGTCCTGGCCCAGGCAAAGGTCCCTGGCGCCCAGTGGGCGTGGGGGTGGCAGCATGGGGGACGGGCCCACGTGGTCGTGGTCCAGGCCAGCCCGTGGCCTGTGCTGGCTTGAGGCCCATCTGCTTCTCTGTGCTGCAGGGTTGGGGGCCTGGGGGGAGGAAGGAGCTCCTCTCCCACCACAGCCCGGGGCACGGGGGAGCCTGGGGGCTAGGCCTGCTCCCTCCTGCAGGGCTGACCGCTGCTGGGATCAAAGACGGACTTATGCTCTGGAGACAGGGACTAGAGAACAGCCACAGAGACACGTGTACTTGGGAGCAACTCTCCGAGGTGCCCGGGCAGGGCCTGCTGGATGGTGTTCAGAATCCTCTGCCCGGCTGGCCGGTGTGGCTATGCTGGACCCAGGAGCAGGGAGCCAGGAGGGCCACCTCCACGTGACCGCCGAGTCTTTTGCGACGCCCCGCTGTCCGGCATCACTCGGGCCTGGGGTGCGGGAACCTCCGGGGAGGAGGGCGGGGGCCGGGCTGGCAGCGGGGCCCTTCCGCGCTGGGTGGAAGAGAACGACACGTCTGGGGTTTCTGTGCTTTAGGCTCTCCGTCCCTTGTCCTGGCCTCAGGCTGGGCTCTCTGAAGCCCCAGGATAGAAAGGAGGCTGATGGCCATTCGTTTGGAGTTTGCCTTGGAGGACCGTCAGCCACGGGGAGAAGATGGAAGGCAGGATCAGGGTGTGAGAAGAGGCTCCTGTGAAGGGGGGGAGGAGCAATGAGTGAGGCGGGTGTCGGAGCGGCCAGTGTGGCCAAGCTGCTCAACCCTTAGCCCCCAACAGGCCTCACTGAGGAGCCGCCTGGCCCAGCGGCCAGGTCCTCCGTGGCACCCTTGCGGTGAGGTGTGTGAGGGCAGGAGGCAGGGAGCTGGGCTCTGTACTGATGGCTCTCGGCGGCACTGGCCCAGATGATGTCTTAAGTTCGGGGGACAAAACAGGCAGACTGACACCCTGGGGTCCCTGATGCACTGGGGACTTGCAAACGTGACACAGAAGCTGACACTGAACTCTGGGCTGGCGTCCAGCTGTGTCCATTGTCAGCTCCCGCCTCCGGGATGACATCCTAGAAACACACGCCCAGAGGAAGTTCCTGGCGTGACCAGTCACCCGGCCCAATTCATCTCATGGAGCTTTTCCTGAACATCATCCCTTTGCCTCTAAAACGTAGGCAGACCCCGAGGCCCACATCCATAGAGGACGTTAAAGACTGAAATAGCAACAGCAACGCCTACAGAGGACGTAGAACATGCCGGAGCCTGTTCTCGGGGCCCCCAACAACCCATTTTACAGACGAAGAAACGGAAGCCTAGAGCAAGGAAGGTGAAACCATGAAAGTGGAAGGCCAGGCGCTGAACCAGGCTCTGCGACAAGTTTCACCATGGCACTCCCCCCCCCCCCCCACGGTCACGACTTGGGGACACATGGGCATGCGCGATGAGGGGAAGGCAGTGGTGAGGGTCCTCGTCACGGCGGCAAAGAGGAATCCACAGAAAGAGCCTGGAGCGAGCACACGGCAGTGCCTGCTATGGGACAGGTGTCATGGCCAGAATAATGGTGGTGACCAGGCAACGTCTGGAAGGAGGGGCCCCCCAAGGGTGGCGAGAGGGCCCAGCTGTGTGGGAGAGGCTGGCTCTCGCTAATTTCCAGACAGGGCAAGGGGGAGGGGAAGGGGAAGGGAAGGAGAGGACAAGGGGACACCAGCTCGGCCTCTTCCCCTCATGCTGGCATTTCCCTGTCCTCCCACAATGGAAGACCGAGAGGAAGTCTTGGCAGATGGATTCTGGGTCCACACCAGGTATGGGCCTGCCCCGTGCGCCGCGGCCCTCGGCCGGCCGTACCTGCGTCCCGGGGCTCAGATCTCCACCGTGGGGTCCGTGAAGCCCTTTTTGCCCTCGTTCACCAGCACGGGCTTCTCCGTCCGCGTGTGCCAGACCAGGATCTGCGTGTCCAGAGACGGGAGACACCATGGAACAGGCCCCCTGGCCTCCCCCTGCCACCTCCTGCTCCCGCCCAGACCCTACAAGTATAGCCCCTGCCCCTCCCATTCTGCCCCCGTTCCATCAGGACGTTCTCCAATGTTCTTTATTTCTACCAACGCCTCCCTCTTGCTGTTTGTACATAGGGTGCATTCAAAATAGCTGTTGGGAACAGAGTGTGCACAACTACAGAAAAAATAGACAAACCCGAAGACTCCTCTTGCTTCTTATGCTCTCCTGCATTTCCTTTTTTAAAATATATACTGTCTTTATTGATTTTAGAGAGAATCATCGATCGGCTGCCTCCTGCACGCACCCTGACCAGGGACTGAGCTGCAACCTGGGCATGTGCCCTGACCGGGAATCAAACCGGTGACCTTTCAGTGCACGGGACGACCTTCAACCCACTGAGCCCCACAGCCCAGGGCTCCCTGGAGAGGGAGAAGGTTGTTCAGGAGCCTTCAGCTCAGCCAGGTGACCGCCCAGGCCCTCACTGCAGAAGCTCAAACTAGGAAGTGTGTGTGCGTGTGCCTGTGCGTGTGCGTGTGCCTGTGCGTGTGCGTGTGTGTGTGCACATGCATTTGTCCATGTGTGCACACATGAACATGTAATTGCAGGGAGGCCGTGAAGCCCAGCTCTTCTGCGGCGCGGGAGGGGACACACCTGGCTCGGCCTCACCGGTCACCACCCTCCCCATCTCCTGCTGGACTTCAGTGTGGCTGCCGCATGGGTGACAAACTGCCTTCAGGGCCGTTGTTCCCGGGGCGTACCTTGGTGCAGTTGGCGGCCTTGGGCTCCAGGTCGCTGAGGGTGACCAGCTCCCGGAGGAGGCTGCTTTCCTGGTAGCCCCCCTTCACGCCGCGCAGCTTGAAGTAGGCCTGGCTGCGCTGCAGGATGAGCCGCAGGTTGACCGCGAACCCGGCCATGTCTATGGCAAAGGGCCGGTGGGGGTCGAACACCGTCTTCCAGCCGACCACCTTCCCGGCCGCGTTGACCCGCGGGGCCTCGTACCGCAGGCCCCCGACGAAGGCCACGGGCCACACGGACACCCTCCGCGTGCTGCGCATCTGCAGGGGACACAGAGTCAGGCCCCGGAGTGCCGAGGGGAGTGATGCCCGTCCCCGCGGAAGGCGACGTCACCCATGCACGCTGGGCTCACGGGTCATCAGAGGCCGCGTCGGGGCGCAGCTGGGCACCTGCAGGGACCCTGACCCCCCCACCGGACGACCCTCCCTCCTATTCACCCACCGGCTGCCACTTTCTTGCTAAGAAACCTCTCTTTCCAATTTAGAGTCTGACCCTCCTCTCTGCCCCCGCAAACTACCTTGACTCGCAAACCCCCAGGACAGGACCGGACAGCGAGCCGCTGAGGCAGGGCTGTGGTCCTGCGGCTCCAAGCACCCGTCGCCTTTAACCAGGGGACCGCTGCGGCCACGGTCGGCTCTCCGTCCCTTGTCCGGCCCCTGCAGGCTGCACCGCCTCCAGCCTGGCCCGGCCTGCGACCTCTCTGTGCGCCCCTCCCCAAAGGGCCGCGGTGGGAGCATCTCCCATTTCCCACGCCACCCCGCGTCCTCCCCCCCTCCCCCGCCTCCACCTCCGCCCGGTGGCCCTGACCTCCTCGAAGAGCTCCAGGCTGTAGGTGTTGTCGTCGTCGGCGAAGTACACCACGCCCGGCTGGCTGGCGTTGCGCGGGAAGGTCTCCCGCAGCCAGCGCAGGGCCAGGTTGCGCTGCATGGTGCCGCGCGGGATGCGCGGGTCGCGGGCGTCGCCGCGCAGCTTGTAGTTGCGGGGCGTCTCCACGTGCAGGTGCGTGTAGTTGAGGCCGGAGTCGCGCAGCAGGCGCGTGGCCAGCGGCGTGCGGTGCGGCGCGTCCTCCACCAGCAGCCAGTGCAGGTTGGGCACGTGCAGCAGCGTGTTGGCCAGGCGCGTGAGCTCGGCCTTCTGCACCGGGCGGCTGTAGGTGGGCGTCACCACGTGGATGGTGGGCAGCGTGTCGGACCACGGCGGCGGCCGCGTGTACACGTACTCGGTGCGCACCACCTCCACGATGTCGCGGTCGGACATGCAGTACTCCCTGGGGTCCGCGCCGGGCGGGGCGGGGCGCCGGGGGTCTCCGCCGTCATCTGCAGGGGAGGGGGGGTGGGGACAGGCAGTGTGGGGACCGAGCGGGCCCTGGCCTCGGGCACTGGGCGGGATGCGCCCATCTGCCTGGTCAAACCTGCCCTCTGCTCCCAGGAGAGCCATCAGACCCCTGCCTAGCGCTGTCTGTCTCCCCACTTTCCTAGCCCCGACTCCCCACACAGCAGAGGGGACCTCGGCCCCCTTCTCCAGGAGGCAACCCTGTAGCTATTTGGATGCCGCCGGCCAGGTCCAAGGCTGCACCTCCAGTTCCTTTATTTGTTGGGTTTTATGTGACCACTCTGGCTCCCTCCTCACCTGGCCGGAAGCATCCAGAACCGCTGGGACCCAGCAGGGCCAGAGTGTAACTGTGCGGAGCAGCGGCTTCAGCCTGTGGCTCCTGGCTATGGCCTGCGTCCTAGTCACTTGGGGTGATGGCTGCCTGAGTCTCAGTCACTTAGGGTGATGGCTACATGTGGATTCCCAGGCCCCACCTCGGCCCTTGTCCTCCTTCACACCGAGATGGGGCGGGTGCCTCCGTGTTTATCTCGCTCCCCGTGTCATACTGTGCGCACGTCGGTGGGAGAACTGCTGCCCTCGAGTGTGAGTCTGTGGGTGCACGGAATGCACAGGGGGGAAGAGCTTGACAGCAGACTGAAGGCATGGGGGGGGGCAGGTCAGATGTGGGACACATGGAAGGTTTGGGGTGTAGGAACCCCCAGTGTCAGAGGGAAAGGCAGCCCGTGGAGGGGGAAGCTGGGGACTCAGAGCCCAGTTCTCCTGCGGGTGCTTCCTGGGACTTTTCCTCGGGCTGGGTCACTAGGTCAGGCGAGGTCAGGGCTGCCCACCTGATGCCCTTGTAATTAGCTAGTTATTCGTAACAGGAAAGGAGCAAACGGAAGGCCAACCAGTATAGGCATGGCATCTGGGCAGCTTCCCCAGGAAGTTGCAGCTTTACATGCCCCCAGGCCCGGCAAAGGGGAGGTAGACGCATGCCCAGTAAAGCTGGGGGCACTAGGGAAGGTGCTGACTGTCAGCCACGCCTGGGAGCAGAGGTCATTGGCCAGAATGGGCGTGGCCACTGCCAGCGGGAAGATTTTGTGTACTTAATTCCCTGAACAAAGAAGCGCGCTCTCTTGGTCTCCTCCTCTGCTTTGGGGGAGTGTCGTTGCAGGGGGCGCGCTCTCCTGGCTCCCCGCATTCGCCCACATGGCCCTCGGCCCTGTGCACCCCACCCGCAGTGGACGGATGGACTGCAGTCAGCCTGCAGCGGAAGCTCTGGACACTGGCTCTGCTTCTAGCCACCCCCCACTGGCACGCCTTCCAGGACTGGGCGAAGGGGGATGGGACTTTGGAAACCCAGCGATGGGGAATTCCATGCAAATAAAAAACACTTCTCCTCCTGGGCCAGTCTCAGAAAGTATCCTTAAGGACCCCACCCCCAGCACTCAGTGGGGAAAGGGACCCCCCCCTCACTTGCACACATAACATAACTAGGAAAAGAGGGGTGAAGACTATACTCCTCTTGAGTTTTTAAAACACAACACAGGCCGGGGACCCTCTTCATCCATCCCTCTCCCCGCACTGAGGCCGAGTGCTCCCAATCCTTGCCATCCTGGAATCAGACGCCGAGTTCTGCGCACCTGAGTGTGTGTGTGTGTGTGTGTGTGAGCATTCACCTGATTCCCAAAGGGGCCAAGACCCCTACAAGGGTCAGGTCGTTGGCCTGCATCCTCCTTATGGCTCCTCCCAGCTGCCTGGTAGGTGGACATGAGAACTCCCCCAGCATGGGCTGTGCTCACTCTGGTTCCTGACACCCGGCCGGCCGGGGCGGGGGCTCACCCTTGTGCGCGGTGAGCAGGGGCGCGATGGTGCTCTGGTGCCAGACGGTGACGAGCAGCGTCCAGGGCAGCACGATGAGGATGATGGCAAGGATGTCCCGTCTCTTCGGCATCTCCAAGGCTGGCTGGGCCCACAGCTCCTCATTACCTGAGCGGCGGCAAGGTCCGGAGGTGACAGATGACGGCGCCAGGGGCGGGGGCAGCACGCAGGGATGAGCACAGGGGAGAAGAGAACAGGAATGGGCCGGACAGGCCAGGCACGGGGACGGCAGAGAAGCCGATGCTGGCTAGCGGGTCTTACCAGCGCTCACAACCCACCCATTGCGAAAGCAGGTTTGCAGAGTCCAGCTCGGCCAGAGTTTCAGAAGGGGTGGCGGCTCAGGGCACAGTCAGGAACCCTGCCAAGTGCATACCTGCAAGAGAGTGCAGAAGAGGATGGCCAGAGACCTGGGCGGGGACGGCATCCAGGAGGGCCAGGCCCGGCCCTGGCTTGTCGTGTGGAGCCCGGACTGCCTTCTCCCGGGGGGGTCCGCAGGGAGCAGAGGTTAAGGGCACAGACTTCAGACACACCTGCATTGGTTTAAATCAGCCGTGGGCAAACTACGGCCCGCGGGCCGGATCCGGCCCGTTTGAAATGAATAAAACTAAAAAAAAAAAAGACCGTACCCTTTTATGTAATGATGTTTACTTTGAATTTATATTAGTTCACACAAACACTCCATCCATGCTTTTGTTCCGGCCCTCCGGTCCAGTTTAAGAACCCATTGTGGCCCTCGAGTCAAAAAGTTTGCCCACCCCTGGTTTAAACACTGAACTCTGCCAACAACAAGCTGTTATTCCTTTGCCAAGTCACGGCAACAGTCCGTGCCAGTTTTCTCACCTGTGAAATGGGTACTTTACAAGGTGGTTCTGAGAATTAAACAAGTCAGCGCCCCTAGAGTCCTGAGGACGGTGCCTGGATAAAGGGGGGAAGCCCTGGGGTGTAATGAAGCAGTGACCTTATGCCACACCCCTAGCCGCAGTCCCCAACTCCAAGACCACTGAAGGGGCTGTAAATGGACTGGTCAAGGTCTCCGTTTGGCTGGCTGAGCTCAGGCCATTTGATGGACAGGGGAGCGTCTAAAAGGCCTGGCTGGGAGATTGCCTCTGGGTCCTCCGTGGCTCCAATGGAGCTTTTTCAAATGCCCTTTATCTTGGGGAGGGCCCTAAGTTCTGGGTGGAGAAAGCCAGGCAAGGTGAGCTGTGTGCGATTCGGCGAATTCGGCCTGCACGCCCAGCTTCTGTGGCACACACATAGCCGCCCGCACGCTTCCTCTGGGCAGCCTCCTCATTCCACGCCTCTACCTCTGGCACTCGCTCAACCTCCCGCTCGTCTGCTGGGCTGTTGTTAGTAACAACAGCTGTGAGATGGCACCTATGGTGTCCGGAGGTGACGCTGGGCAGTTCCTGTTCAGCATCACAACAACCCCGGGTGCTCCGCGCTGTCCTTACAGCTGTTTCACGTGGGAAATGCACCAGTGGCTTGCCCAAGGCAAACGCCAGGACATGCAGACGTAAACCCAGGCCCTTCGGTCTCCTGCAACCAGGGGCATGGGGAGGCAGCGTCCAGGCCCCCGAGCCCCCAAATCTGATCAGGCGTAGATGGGGTGAGCCCTGGCATAGAGCCACCCTCCCCTAGGAAAGCCGCCCCTGCTGCTGTCCCAGCACCTTCCAGAAGGGGGGAGGGAGCCAGGGGGAGGCCAGGATGCAGGGGGCTGTTCTGGTCAAGACATCTATGCAAGGAAAGGGAGGGGGGATGAGGGAGGGAAACTCTAAAAATAAACTTAGCAATAAACCCAGTTGTGCATTAATTACTCTGGAAGCCATTACGGCCTGAAAATCCCATAACTTTAATGGAGGCGATTATAAGCATCGTAGCAAAATCGTGGAGCTAATTACCAGGTGGTTATTCAGCAGAACAGCCGGAGCCCCAGTCTCAGAGAAAGCCAGCTGGCCAGCAGGGGTGAGTTTATGGGAAATGGGGCCTGAGCCTGGCGGCGGGGTGCAGGGGTAGGTCCTGGGGGAGCCTAGGGCTGTGGGGGCTCTGGGAGGGCGTGACCTGGGGGATGGGAAGTTGGAGAGGGGGGAGGGGCACTGGGGCAGGGGCAAGGGGACCTGTGGGAGGGCCTGGGGCAGGGGGGAGGCTGCACCTACCCCGACCTCAGCTCTGAGATGAGGCTGCGAGGATGCCTAGGTCAGGGTCGGCAAACTGCGGCTTGGGAGCCACATGCGGCTCTTTGGCCCCTTGACTGTGGCTCTTCCACAAAATACTGGCTCTTCCACAAAATACCGACTTCTGCGCATGGGCCACGAAGTTTCAATCGCACTGTACGTGCGCGCCCGCACGTGGTATTTTGTGGAAGAGCCACACTCAAGGGGCCAAAGAGCCGCATGTGGCTCGCGAGCCGCAGCTTGCCGACCACTGAGCTGGGGCATCACAGCCTTTTTCTCCCCGGGCCTTGGAGGAAGGGTGGCAGCTTGCCTGTGGCCGCAGGCTCAGCCCTGCAGACTGCACCCACATAGACCCTGCAGGCTGCACCCACATAGACCCTTTTGGGCATGTATTCAGGTACACGTGTGTGTGTGTGTGTGTGTGTGTGTGTGATGGTCAGTAACAAACAGGCTCCGAAGCCATCCAGACACATGTCTCTGACATGATAAAGCCGTGCTAGCAAACACGTTGGGAGCAGTAGTGAGTTGGTTGAAGGAGTCTGCTATAAAGTGAAGAGTCCCTCCAAACAGCGCACCCCTGTGATGCTTGTTTCAACGTACGCAGTCTTTAAAGAGGCAAGAGTTTCCGCATGTTGCACTACCCGAGGCCATTTTCCCTGGAATCCTCACCACTCCTTGCTGGCTGCTCTCAGCACTCCCGAGGAGGGTAATTTGGGGGGGAATTTCGGGTGTTCCTGGCCTTACCCCCCACAGTGCACCCTCCGACCTCTTTGTTGATTTCGTGAAAGTGACCCAGGGCCTGCAGGACACTTGGTGTGCCATCTGCATGCACTATCCTTGAGCATTTTTATGACTTTTCCCACCTATCTCCACCTACTTAGAAGAATTCTTTTCCCAGACTCACCTTATGGGAGTCTTTTGAGAACACTCAACTTAGTTTTCATAGAAACAACATATTTCTCTCTTTCCAGCCCACGTTTTGTGGTTTGATACTATTCTGCGGTGAGGATCACAAGCATGGCCTTAAAAAACGGGTTGGGAACTAACATGAGGGACCCTGGGACTCCAGGCCAGCCTGGGACTCAGCTGGTGTGAGCAGGGGCGGCCCCTAGAGGGGAGAGGCAGCATTACAGGGGCCCAGAGGATGAAATGGATCCGGTCAGTGTGCTGCCCTGGGTCCAGCTGGTTGGGGGAGCTTATGCTGTGCCTGTGAAGGAAGAAAGCTGCCCTCCCTCATCTGAGCGCCTGCATCCTGGGGTGGATGGGACAGACACTGAAGCCTCTTCGCGCAGGCGCAAGCCAGGGCTCCACTGTTCAGCCCAGGAGGGGTGAGGATGGGGAGGGGGCTGGGCCAGGCACCAGCCTTCTGGGCATGGGGTCAGGGAGGTGACAACAGGCGGCAGAAGGAGGGGACATTTTAAAAGAAGATGCAGGACGGAGTCAAGGCTCCAGCTCCAGCTTGGGACAGTTCTCCGGGCGAAGGGAGGTGTGGATTTGCCCCAGAGATCCCCAGGAACTCCTACATGGATCAAGGGATTAGTATCGATTCTTCTGCCTCTGCTCAGGAAAAGCCCCGTGCCAGAGCTAATCAGCTCCTGGGCCAGTCAATCCATACTTCATTAACCCGGCCCTGTCCTCCCACAACCTGGCCACCGTACCTGCACCCCAGTCTGGCCCTGGCTTCAGCCAGGAGCTCCTGCTGGGCCTGCAGGGCACGGGCTTGGGGGCTTGGCCTCTCTCCACTCACCAATCCCCCAGCGTCCTGCTCAATTCCTCTTCCCCCACCCCCATCAGCTGGAGGGGAAGGGAGAGCAGGGGACAGGGATCCAATAGCTCCCTCCACTCCAAGAAGTGAAGTGAGGTCTGCGAGGGATGCTTAGTCGGAATGGCGGGCCTTCTCTGTGACATCCCGGTGCTGGGCCAGCAGGGTTCATTTTCTCCAAACTGCCCGGTCCTTTCGTCTTCACGACAGCCCGGTGAGGCAAGCAGGCAGTCTCCTTTCACAGCTGGGGAAACTGAGGCTTAGAAGGGCTGCGTGACCAGCTCCAGGTCTGGAGGCCATCTCTGCCGGGGCTGCTCAGGCTCGGCCTTTGGACTCTGAATTGGTGCAACCCCATCTCACGCTGCCTCCCCCACTGCAGAGCCAGCACATGGGCTCCCAGGCCACCCTCAGGGCCAGGCTCCCTGAGCCTGTTGGGCCTGTGCGCTCTGCCAGCTGGTGCCAGGCAGAGGGCTCCAGGGAGGGGCTCCCACCTGCTCTCAGGGTGCAGCACGGATGGAGAGAAAGGCCAGGCCCTGGCGAGGTCCACATCCCGCCTCTTGGCCTGGCCACTGCCGGCTCTCACTCCCGGCTACTTCTGATGGGAAGGGCGGCAGCTTCTGTTCATGGGCATCAGTACTGCACCAGAAGCTGCTGTGATTACCAACGTGGAAAGGGCCTGGAGGGACCTGCCTGGCCTGGTGCCCTCTACGTCCCCGGCTGAGCTTTGGCTGCCTTCCAGAAGGCAGGACGGAAGCCAAAGACCCCCCAAAGTCCCATTTCACTCCCAAAAGGAGAGGCAGTGAGGAAGGGTGGCGGGATACTCAGAAGGGACCCCTTCCTGTCTCAGGGACTCATGTTGGCCCTATTCGGCCTCCGTTTCCCCATAGCCAGTGTGGAGCTGTTAGGCCTCGTTCACCGTCTGGCAAACTCCAGGATGACCTTGAAGTCAACACGGCTCAGTTTCCTTATCTGTGACTCTTACCGGCTATTTTGGGGATCAAATGAGGGAAACATCTAGTTTGAGGCCTGGCACCCAATTAGCACGAAACAGGCTCGCTAATGTAAAATAGGACAGCGGTTCCAACAACCTCCACCTGGCTTTAAAATTCAGCTGAGTCCAAGCGCCGGGAGGAGAGGGGCGGGAGAGGGCACTTCGGCTCCTTCCTGGTGGGTCCGCACTCACGGCCTCCGGGGCAGGTTCCTCTCTCCAAGGGTGAGGCTATGCCGAGGTCGGACTCCGTGGAAAGCAGGTACGTTGGCACGTGGCAGCGCGCTAAACTGGGTGTGTGTCTGCTGTGGCCAAGGCACCAGAGAAGGGAGATTTCCCGCATGTGGGGAGGCCAAGGCCCTGAGAGGGGGACTCTGGCCCGCTCCCCCTGCCCAGCTCAGATCTTCAGGCCCAGCTGCTGCCCACTGACTGGCACTCCACTGTGGCCCCAG